TGATGTGAGGTTTCTGGATTTTATGAGTTTATACATTCCAATCCTTTATAATGCAACATTAATAGAATAGTCGGTCTGATAGATCATACAGCCATTACGGTCACAAGGGAACCCTTCGACAATACGTTTTCACATTATGCTGGGTGCACCGCGGACAGACAATTATATAATGGTTCGGTTTACATTCCAGTAATATACATATCACTATGTTTATAAGTCTACATTGTGTCTATCACAATGGCAGGTAGATCACATGTGTTATAGGAGAGCAACAATGGATTAAAACCCTGGGAACTTAAGACGGATGTTCTAACCAATAGAGCTTCGATCCTGGTCCCCTACGTATACAATCACCTCACTTTTCTAAGTCTTAATCTCTGAAGACAACAACACTATGTACAACCTAGGTTGTTAAACTTAAAAGCAGTACATGTAACAAGGGTGGTCACAGGTAGTACTTTAACAAGAGAAGGGCCGTCATGTACGGCCAGACCGGGATGAGAACCCTGGACCCTGTGAACTCTAGACGGACGTTCTAGCCAATTTAGCTTCCTGGTCACCGGCGATCGACCCAGTCAAGTTCCATTACAGATGCATGGTGTTCCTTGCCACTGAATGACAAATGTCCCAGAATTCAATCGTCTCCTTTTAATTTACCAGAAAATGGGTATAAGGCCCTTACCGGAATTGTGATATGGCAGATTCTTTTGATATTATGACAAAAAACAGCACAAACCGGTAATACAGCACACAGCAGACTTTCTGTGGGATATGGGCTAGCTGCCGTGGAATTGAAGTCGAACAATTATTGTGCTTTGTTCCTGAACTGATTATCGCTAATTTTTTTATCCAGGATCTGTTTCCCTAGCCAAAGTGTTAAGACTATAACAAGGTTACATACATGCATGCTTTCTAACAGATTGAAAAGATGAGAGAAAAGAAACCTGTACATGTTTAAATGATATCCTGACACAGTCTTATTGGTGTAAATCAACAGGAAGAAAACATAATATACAGTTAAACATTATAATCCATTTTTTTTTTAGAACAAGCGAACGCGTGTCTGCCATATTGCTAGACTGCAGTGCTATGAAACACCCAATTAGGGTTTGTAAAATAAATGTATGTACAAATGTACATCTGTGCTGGCATTATTTTGGGCTGCTATTTTGAAACAAGTTGCAACACAGCAAGAGCTTGTGGAATAAATAAATCAACGGATATACATCAGTAGCAGACGTGGTATTGGTAACAAATTAAATACAAGAGGCCCATGGGCCTTAACGGTCACCTGAGTCCTACAATATTTATTTTTGTTGTTGAAATATGTACCAATTTGANTAGCACACAATGGAGCTACTGTTTCGATGTGAAATGGCTTAAATTACTTAGTTTAACTTAGTTTATTCTGAACGCATGCACATAATCTGCCTCTATATTCTGATCATAGTCCATATTTTTATAATTTTATATCCAGAAAATGGAGGTAGATATTGTCCGGAGTGTTAAAAATTCACAGAACCAATCAAACTTGGCTTTAGTTTAAGAATTGTGTACATTGTATATTTATCAACAGAAGATATCATTTCATGAATGAAAAAAGTCAACACTGAAGCAGTGATTTTTCTACCTCTGTTTGATCGGGCCTGTGCCTTATGTGACCTCGGGAATATATCACACACAAAAAGCATGATTTTGGAAAAATGAAGTGATTTTTGGAAAATACAACAGAAAATATCTAGGAGAATTATCAAAGCTCCAAATTCACCGAAAAAGTCACTGCCACAGGGAAGTGAGAAGAAATTTGAGTTCAGGGTATTGGTAAAAGTGCATGTTGCCAACGTATATGTAATCCAAAATGTTAAAGAAAGGTAGAATACCTCCACCACACCTGACAAGTCATGGTCTCCAAAGTCATTCTCCTCAACAATTAATCAACCTTTTAATGAACATTAATTGTCATGGTGTTTGATGAGAAGTTATAATTTGGTCTAGCCTACAGGAGGTACTTAGACCAAGAAATAACTTCTATTATATGGGGGTCCACAATACAGTTTCTACCGTAATTATACTGGTATTTGCATGTAATTGAAATACAAAACAAACCTGAGCAGCTATATATATATATGTACCATGCATTCTATCACCCGTGTATACAGGTACCTTTTACTGGCATGAAAGTTATTTGAACTTTCATTTTTTAAAGTTACTTTTGAATCATTTAGGAAATTCCAAGTACATGTATGTACTTGATTGGGTCTTATAAAAAACAATGAAAATCTTTTTTTTTTTTTTTTTTTACTGTTGTTTTGACATTTAAAGGAGACAATTGAACTTCACTCTTCAAAAATGACCAATGCAAAAACAAAAACAACTCATATCCCCAGTACAAAATAAAAATATCAGAAAATATTAAGGTATTATGGTTTACAGGCTTGAGGTAGGATATTTGATCCAAATAAGGCTGAATTGATTCTGCTGTAGAACTCTGTAAATTAATCTATGTCAAACACCTGCATGGTATCTCCGTCAGTCTACACAGCAAAATTGCAGGGGAGAACGAAGTATGGCAATTAGCACCAATACAACCACAATTGATTGGGACAGAATCCTGACAGTTTCCAAACACTATTTACCGTCAGGGTAATTAATATCTGTCAATAATTGGGATAATATTTTATACAGAGTCTGGTATGCATTGAACAATACATCAACATATGAAAAGTATATAGGCCTACATACATTTTATTTGAAGGTTTTTTTTCATCGGGTGTCAGATTACACAGTGGAAAGCTCAACTGATGCACATTTTGTGTGTAATATAATTCTTAAGTTTTGTTTGCACATGATAATCTTTATTCAGCAATAGACACAAATGTCTTTGTGCCATTAATACATTGCATATACAAGGATATATGTAGTGGTACAATGCATTAAATTACATAAATATATAATAAAACTGTGACTTTCCTTACTTAAATGCAGGTTTCACGACATGAACAGTATAAGTGTACTAGTAAATTAATGAAAATAATATTAGCAGAGTTTTTGAAAATATTTCACATTTTCAAGCCATGAAAATCGTGTCATGTTATAACACATTGTTTCAAGTATTATTTTACAATTATACAGACACTTTAAAGTGATATTTGTTCAGTCTAATCATATATTTTCTATTTAATTAGAATGGAGATGATGTCATTTTATTTTTTTCTTAAGTTTTACACATAGTTCAAATTTCTTTCATGATGATTAATTTTATAGAATCTTTAATCAGTGAATTTTACACATACTACCTTAAAGTCTGAAATAATTAGCTTGATGTCTCAAACTTTATAACTAACCCATGTAAAAATTAACTTACAGTAGAAAGTTAACTTGTTCACCCCTGAAGACACATTTGAACGCTTCCAATTCAAAGGTTGGAATAGTTCATCATGAAAATTCAGGGGTGAATGAGTTAACAGGAAAAATGTTATGGGGCCAGACCAATATTCAAACAAGGAGTCTCTGAACTCAAGGCAGATGCTGAACCAATTATGATACATTGTACCTCAAGTTACCAGTAGTCACCCCTAGCTGTGCAGTTCTGCTACATATGCATCCTAGGCCTGAAGGGCTTGCTGAAGAAGGCTGATAAAAGCTAGTATTACGTGATTCTAAGCTTGCATTATATATAGGTACATTTGTATAATGTACAAGCTGGTATATTTACCAAATTATATATAAGCTACAATAGTTACAAAAATCTTTTTAAATTATTTGACATTAATCACAGATTTTTCCGAGAAATCCAGACCTAATGAAAAGTGTGGGCTGGGTTAATGACATCATGGGTTTGTTTTGATATGTACTATGGTACATTTTTATGCAGCTACTTCCTGATGTTCCAGTTGGTTCCCTGCCAGAAACAATTAGTACTTATAGTATATATAGCTGTAGTCGTGAGCAATATATTACATGTAAAGCAGACGTACAATGACTAGTACTGTAGGTATATTGAGCTTGGAATCTGGGAAACCCAAATAACGGAACTCTCTGGCATGAATGATTTTATTCTCCAAGTAGCACAGCATACACTGGTTAATTAGAGTGATGTATCAGTAGAAATGTACAAGCAGTTAAAAAAAATCTTAAAGGTGGAAGTTAAGGCTGTACATCCTGGAAGGAAAACATGTTTCATTTGAAGTTTGAATATTATATATAACACAAAACTTTAAAACATTTACGTTGACCTGTATCATTTTTCAACATTATATAGGCAAGCTGATAAATAACATTTAAATGAAAACATTTTTTGTTTGTTTTTAAGACCTAAACTTAATCAATTTATTTACTTACAGGTATTAATTTAAGGAATTAGTTGTTTTTATAATTTTATATGGACAACTTGTTAACGTTAATAGTATATAACTGTCATATTTACCATTTACTGCAATTTGTCTGTACAATAGTTCTTAATTAGAACTTATTTGTGAAGTGAATTAAAGGTATGCCGTCAAATCTAATTCAGTAAAATTACCATGGTTTACATTAATTTGTCCAAAGTACACATACAGATCGTGGGGTCGTTGTGAGCTTATAGGCCTATAGGGTTGATCATCAAACCGTTAACAGTGTACATTAATAAACTATGAGTACTTCAGCAATCTGATTATCATCAAGCAACAATTATTGAATTCTGCCAGATTGCAGAATCATATCATCACAGATTTTCAATTAATTGGTTTAGGAATTTTTATTTCATAAGTATTTAAGTCTAGATCTACATCCAGATTTAAACTTGATCATGCTTAACATCAATTTTGGGGACTATTTAAAATATTGTTAAATATAGATGTTGTTATATTTGTAAGATTCCCATCTATAGCTCAATAGAATTTCCCATTATGATAATTACTGCAATATTGTACAGTACTGACATAAATGTAGGTAAATTACAGTACAAATATAAATATTAAATGCTTAATTTGACACTATACCAGTGAAAGTAAACTTACCTGTCATCAAAATGATGTACAGAATCTCCTAATACAAGGTCCCTAAATCTGTACCGGGGTGGCAGTGACGGCACTTGGGAGAAAACATCAGTTTGGGCTGGGTGCATGTTTTCGTTTTACCCGCACCATGTTTCAGCATCCTAAACTTTGTTGCAGTCAACAACAATAATCCATTTTACGGATTGAATAATACGGAACGCGTATACAGAAAATCGATCACGTAAAGCTGACCTCATACAGAATTTATACAAGATGTGTTGAATGTACTAGATCTTGTTCAGGTGAGTCTTCACATTTTGTTTGTAAAAATGAAAGACATAACATTAAGAGTCATGTCGTAAAATTGTATTTCGTTTCGACAGATTGTAAAATTGATTCTGAAAAATGGTGTCATGGCCGCTATGCAGACGACTTCATGACAGAACGTGAAGCTTGAATCTGGTTTTCTGACTAAAGCATTGGTAATGCTGCGTTTCTGTCAGTAAGTTTCAATGTATATACGTGTGATAATAACTGTGTCTGATATAGACAACCTTATAAATTGTTGTCGTCGCGGTTGCATTAAAATCGCGACATTATCCCGACCGACAGTAGTCTAGGCCAGCATCTGTCAGTCTGTGACTGTCTGAAATGTTATCTTGTCATGATTAGATAGCTAGGCCTACAGGACATAACATGGTATGATATCAACGCATCGGTGACACTTTAGTTTATTTGATTTTTTCATAATTGTAATTGTTCGTTCATGGTTGGTTGTTATAGTGTAAACGACCAGTCAGATGAGCACTGCATGCCTCCTACAATGTAGCTGCGCGATAACGTAGCTTTCTGACGACGAGAGATTTTTTTTTATATATTGCGTCGTCAGAGCTACGAAGTGGTCCTATGCCAACTGATGGAGCAAAATCAAAAGTGTTAATCAGTATCTGTAAGGTTGCATATAATTCACACCTCATATGAGTATAATGTTATCAAAATATTGCATAATTGTTAAAAAAACGAATCCTTACCCATGCAAAAACTCTTTTACGAAATTAACAAAGTCCATATTGGTGAAACAAATAGAAACGACCGCCATGACAGATCACACATGATGTAATCTAAATTATCCATTCTAAATATGGCCTGCATGGCCAAATATAGAATTACTACTGATGCCGTTTACTGTTTACTACAATTTCCATATTGGGTCATGACACCCATATTTGGACGTCTGACCTATATCGGAAGAGAGACGAACTTTCCAACATGGCGGTCAATTCAGATTTCGATTACGCTTGCTACGTTTTGAAATAGTTCATGCTACAACCTTATTTATGAATGTGGACCAATGTGCTGTCAATTAATTCTAAAATCGCCCCGGTATGATTCACACCGGGCTTGCTCCATTACAAGGCATGGGATCGATTTAATACCCGGCCGGGGCAGAGGAGGCCGGGTATTAATATTAGTACTACATGCCTCCGTAAGCCTATAGGCTTAGTGCCGTATGCCAGAGATATATTCATATAATGTAGTAAGTAACATGTAGTAACGTTAAAGTTAAACAAACCTCGTAAAGATGGCGTGATCATTGTTAATACCAAACTCAGGATAAACGATATCAGTGATTTATTTGCTCAGTTTTACTGCCGAATACAGATACAGACCCCCCCCCCCCCCAGCTAAAAAGTGCATTATTTTCCCAAAATGACCACAAATTAAAAATATATTCCCGATTTCAATACAAAAAATGCTATATTTTCACAATTCACAAAGGAATAGACTAACACTGGCTACATAAAGAATTCCATTTACCTGAAGTATTGAGATATACAACTTCATATAACATGTGTAAAAGATGTGCATTTGATTAGGCTACCTTACAAGCCTTAGCTGTAGCGAATTTCCCCTTTAGCTCAGCGTTAAAGCATCGGGCTGGAGAGCCATTGAGGGTCGCAGGTTCGAGCCCCAGCGACGGCACCATCTTTATCACTATTCCTCATCCTAACTACAAACTGGTGCCGTTGACCCTCCCCATTCAAACTTAAGGTAGTATAACCCTTGGCGGGGAGTCCAAGAACCTGGGTTGGTGATTGAAACAGGGGGAAATATAGATAGTGTAAAAGATGTGCATTAATTAGGTTGCCTTACAAGCGTTAGCTGTAGGGAATTTCACTTTGGCTCAGCGGTAGAGCATGGGGCTGGGGAGCCAAGGGTCTAGGGTTCGAGGCCCAGCGATGGCACTTTCTTTATCACTATTCCTCGTCCTACTACACATGTTTATACAACAACAAAAAAAAAAACCACAAGGCTGATTCTCGAGGCCTTTAAAGGCTGTTTGGCAGTGAAATCACTGCCAAACAGCTTTTGAAGCTTTAGGATAATTGTTTTATTTTGATTTATGTTTATATACGCGTCATGTTAATTGGAGTTATTGAAATTCTAAAACCATTCAACTTGAAAGTCCTCAAATATGAAATTATTTATTAGAGTTCTAATAGCTAACATATGGCCTGACAAGCCAGATTGAGTATATGGCATGGCACTGCGTCGGTCATCTGTCCATCTTTCTGTCTATTCATCTTGCGTCCGACATCAACTTTTTACTTTAAACATTTTCTTCTGAATGTAAGGTTCCACAAGGCCTAGAGTGATGATAGTTTGCAAGTAGCATGCTGGGATGAAGGGCTACCAAGTTGTTCAAATGAATGACCTCGACTCATATTCAAGATCGCAGGGGTCAAATTTGTTAAAAACTTGAAACAACTTCTTCTGAATAACAAAAATGGCCAAGGTAATGATATTTGAAAGTTGCATGATGGTATCAAAGTTTTTCAAATTGATTACCTTCATCCATATTCAAGGTCACTGGGGTCAATTGTCTTTAAAAGTAATAAACAAGTTCTTCTGAATAACCAAAGGGACCAATTTGGCCTGGAGCATCCTTGGGCAAAGGGGACTAGATTTTGTATAAATGGAGGGTGTAATGCCTCTCTGGGTGCAGAGTTACGGGGCCCAAAAGGGGAATTTGAGGTTTGAATGTTTAAAATCCTTCTTCTTTAATTAAGGACCCATGGTGAGCTTATGCCATCCTGCAGTGTCCGTCTTCCGTCCGTCGTCCGTCTGTCAACTTTTCCTTTAAAACGCTACTAGTCCTGAACGGCAAAGTAGATTTTGACTAAATTTGGACTGGAGCATCCTTAGGCCAAGGGAACTCAATTTTGTATAAATGGTGGGTGTGGCCCCCCTAGGGGCAGAGGGGCGGGGCCCCAATAGGGGAAATATAGCAAATTCTTTAAAATCCTTCTTCTGCTGTAGGGATTAAGGGATTTTATCCTAATTTAGTCTGGAGCATCCTTGGGCCAAGAGGACACAATTTTGTATAAATGGTGGGTGTGGCCCCCCAGGGGCCTGAGGGGCGGGGCCCAATAGGGGAAATATAGCAAATTCTTTAAAATCCTTCTTCTTCTGTAGGAATGAAAGGATTTGGTCCATATTTGGTGTGGATCCGGAGCATCCTTGGGCCAAGGGGACTCAAGTTTGTATAAACCGTGGGTGAATGGCCCCCCAGGGGCCTGAGGGGCGGGGCCCTATAGGGGAAATATAGAAAATTATTCTTTAAAATCCTTCTTCTTCTGTAGGAATGATTGGCCCCCCTTGGACCTGATGGGCGGGGCCCAAAAGAGGAAATAGAGGTAAAACCTTTAAAAATCCTTCTTCTACCATAGGGATTAGGGGATTTTATCCTAATTTAGTCTGGAGCATCCTTGGGCCAAGGGGACTCAATTTTGTGTAAGCAGTGGGTGTGGTCTCCAAGGGGGCAGAAGGGCGGGGCCCAATACGAGAAATAGAGGTAAAACCTTTAAAATCCTTCCACGACCATCGGGATTAAGGGACTTCATCCTTATTTAGTCTGGAGCATCCTTTGTCCAAGGGGACTCAATTTTGTATAAACAGTGGGTATGACCCCTATAGGGGCATAGGGGTGGGGATCTGTTTGAAATTTGTTCTCGCTATATCTCAAGTACTGGATGGATCTTTCTGAAATTTCATATGTACTTACAGCACCTACCAAGGAGGAATATATCTTTACTTCATACCAATTATTTCCCACGGTTGCTTTAATTATTATCCAGGTGAGCGATACAGGCCCATTGGGCCTCTTGTTTTGGTTTGCTCCACCATAAGAAGGCTTCTGTTTACCACTAGGTATCCTCCTTAAGCCTAGACGATGAAGATAATCATTCCTCGACACTTATTGGATGTTGGTTCTTTATTCCTGCATTATATGTACACATTGAATTTGTTAAGTACCCAATGCTTTTGTAATTGTTAAAAAAATATTGTAAAAGTGCTTATTACCGATGTCAGTTGTGTCACAATACTCAATAATCATAATCTAAAAATTATGCAACATAAGTGTTTCTGATTATTGAAAAGATTTATAGCTTGGCCGGTAGAAATGTATATTTGTCTTCCATTGAAAGTAGTGTACTACATGTAATATGAATGAATAACTAAAATCAAACAAATATTAAACAACTAAGTGATGCATTCTATAGATGATCATGATGTTACACAGGCAGCTCCTTTATATTTATTTGTGGTGTGGGCAGATTACATTGAGATTACAATGGCTGTCAGTAGGTGTCTACTTCAACATGGATGGAAATGACACATGTATTAGGATTAATTGGAATTTGAATAAATGATAAGAAACGCTTATTGATATCAATTGATTGTATCCAATTATCAATAGTGTCGCCCCAGTTGATTCCCCTCACTACCAACAGACATGACTAAGGGTTGGTGATGTCTGAGATAAATGAGACATATTTCTATGTGTATATCATTAGTGACACCTGGTCGTATGTAAATGTGATAAAATTAATGTAGAAGGAAATTTCATCGGGCTCGTTTATCTCCATTAACTCTTTCATCCCTGAAATTTCATAATGAACTATTCCAGCATTTGAATTGGAAGAGTTCAAATGTGTCTTCATGGGGGAATGAGTTAATTAACTTTTAAGGTCAAGTGACCTATTGCTATCCGTCTTCGTCTGTCGTCGTGTGTCGTCCGTTAACATTTTACATTTTCAACTTAAGCTGAACTACTGTCGAAGGGATTTCATTAATATTTCATGGGAATGAGAATGATTTAACTGAAACTTGGTAGGAATTATCAACTTATATTATGGTCCTGACAAAGTGTTGTTATTTTTTGGGTCGATAAGAAATCCAATACGGCCGCCAAGGCCGCCATTTTGAAATACTATTTCAAACTGAAAGTCAAGTTCTACTGGGCCAATTTAACTGAAATCGTTAGGAATTATCGGCTCATGGTCCTGACAAAGTGTTGTTATTTCAAAATTTCAAAATTAAAATCAAGTTCTACCGGACCGATTGAACTGAAACTTGACAGGAATGGACTCATGGTCCTAGCAAAGTGTTCTCTTTTTTTTGGCGCTGATAAAAAATCCAATATTGCTGCCACAGCCGCCATTTTGGAAAAAAAACTATTTCAAACTTAAAATCAAGTTCTAATAGGCCGATTTAACTGAAACTCGGTCTAGGAATGATCGACTCATGGTTCTGACAAACTTAAATTAACGTTATACTTAATTATGTTTTATGCATTATTTTTTATTTAGGTCATGATCAGTCAAACACGTTTTGTAATAGTTTTCAGTATGTAAGTACGTAACCGATGTGATAGGGCTAGCTTTTAAAGTACCAGTAGGCAATAATATTGTTTTTATAAATTATAAAGGAATGATGCATGACATTATATAACCTTGAAATATTTGGAATCCTCTGCAGTTGTCCCCCTTTTAATCTGATATGAAAACCACATATGTATACCACATACATATTTCATTTGATTTTCTTCTTTTTTCCAGATGGATGTTTTTTTGAGCCAAGAGAAGTAACTCCGGTATGACAGCTTTCATTTCATCAGATACCAGTGTGGACAGAACTAGCATTAAGTTTTTACATTACCATGAAGTTGATAGTGCGGTTGGTCATTCTTTGCATCATCAGTTTTATCCTGTTTGTGTCCTATAAAATTCTGGAGCCAAACATTGTTGACAGAAACGCAAGATCAAAACTTGCTGAGGGAGACCAGAGTCATTGGAACAAGGGAGACGACTCTGTCACCCTAAAAGAGAAACTGTCAGGAAACACATTACGAGATGCTGTGATAGCTGAAATCACAGCCAAATATTTACTGAACTATTTCTATCCATTAAAACAGTCACCTTGGAAAGTTGCGGAAAGTATTGCCACAGATCGACAACTCCACCCCACCAACTGTAACGAACTGGGTGAGTACATTTATAATGTCATACATTTATTTTTGTATGTACAATTCCAGAAATACAATTTACACCACATAAACTTCACATACTAGTATAGGAGTCAGAGGCAAACTTCTTCTTTGTTAATTTGGACAGGAAAGCGTGGATCTTTTTCTTTGTTAATTTGGACAGGAAAGCGTTGATCTTTTTCTTTGTTAATTTGGACAGGAAAACGTTGATCTTTTCCTTTGTTAATTTGGGCAGGAAAGCGTTGATCTTTTTCTTTGTTAATTTGGACAGGAAAGGGTGCATCTTTTTCTTTGTTAATTTGGACAGGAAAGTGTGCATCTTTTTCTTTGTTAATTTGGACAGGAAAGCATGGATCTTTATCTTTGTTAATTTGGACAGGAAAGCGTGGATCTTTTTCTTTGTTAATTTGGACAGGAAAGCGTGCATCTTTTTCTTTGTTAATTTGGACAGGAAAGTGTGCATCTTTTTCTTTGTTAATTTGGACAGGAAAGTGTGCATCTTTTTCTTTGTTAATTTGGACAGGAAAGGGTGCATCTTTTTCTTTGTTAATTTGGACAGGAAAGTGTGCATCTTTTTCTTTGTTAATTTGGACAGGAAAGGGTGCATCTTTTTCTTTGTTAATTTGGACAGGAAAGCGTGGATCTTTTTCTTTGTTGATTTGGACAGGAAAGCATGGATCTTTTTCTTTGTTAATTTGGACAGGAAAACGTTGATCTTTTTCTTTGTTAATTTGGACAGGAAAACGTTGATCTTTTTCTTTGTTAATTTGGAAAGGAAAGCGTGGATCTTTTTCTTTGTTAATTTGGACAGAATAAGTGTTGATCTTTTGCTTTGTTAATTTGGACAGGAAAGCATGGATCTTTATCTTTGTTAATTTGGACAGGAAAGCGTGGATCTTTTTCTTTGTTAATTTGGACAGAATAAGTGTGAATCTTTTTCTTTGTCAACTTTTGTAGAATAAGTGTGGATCTTTGTGTTTGCTTATTTGGGTAAAATAAGTGTGGATATTGTTCTTTGTTAATTTTGGTAGAATAAGCATAAATCTGTTTTTTCGTTAATTTGGGTAAAATAGGTGTGGATATTCTTCTTTTTTAATTTGGGTGAAATAAGTGTGAATCTTCTTTGTTAATTTGGGTTGAATAAGTATGGATATTCTGTAGAATAAGCAGTGTGCTGGCTGCGAGGGAAGATTTTGTATAGTTTAGCAAAGTGTTTGTTTCGGGGTGAATCCTGGGTCAAGAAAGCAGAACAGTAATGCTTTGTGGGTGATCTTTGTTTGAATAAGCAGAGTGCTTGCTGTTGAGATTGATCTTGAGTAAACTAAATAGGGTGCTGACTTTGAGGGCTGACAAAATAAGCAGCTGTTAATATTGTGACATTAGAGCCAAGTTGTAATTGTACCTCCGAGTTCATTATAACATCTGTATGAATATTTTACGTTATCTTCATCATGTTGTAACAAAACCAGCCGCAGTAATGAACAAGTCTTGTTTTCAACATCATGTGTATAAAAGTTGAAACCATTTCTGTCAGGTCAAACATTTACTTATCCATATAACCTCTCTGTAAAACTTGACTAGATATATAGAGAATACCACATAGTTTGAACTAGGTTTCATGCTAGACCACATGGCAAGTTGTTATGGTGATTTGATGTTTTGTTTGGCCATTAACATGCACATGTTATGCATAAATGACATACTTGACTATATGAATGGGAGTTAACATGTATAGACATGTGATGTCATATTAAGGCATAAATGTCATGTAAAGACCGTTGATCCATAGAGTTTTCGTACGGATGTCGTTCTCAGGACATTATATAAGATTTTTTTTAAGTTTAGCTGTAAGCAAATACAACTTGTACTGACCTTTCATCTGAGTCGCTGAGTAGAGACTCGAGGTCAACTGTCGACATGGACCCTGACTTCTTTCGGAGAACGACGACCGGAACCTTATGGTATCTGTCACGCTTCACCATCTTCACCTCCTTGATAGAGTAATCTCGCTGGGAGATCCTCTTCTTGCACTTCTCTGTAACATTGTAAAGGTCACGTAAATAAATCTTCAACAATTGTCTCCTATCAAAGTTCACTTACTCCCATCCTTAAATATTACTTTATTTTTATTTATTTTTCTGTAAATTTCATATTCAGAATACAAGATCATGAAAATCAAATTTAAGTTATATGCTTCTGCATTTATGAATCCTTTATCTCCAAAATATATTTCCAAAAATATTAAAAAAAATAAAAAAATATATATATACCGTTGTATATATGAATTCAATTTCACAAATTTGAAAATATCATTTCAACATGAGAAAAAACTTTACAAGTGCTTTTGATAAAATATTCATACTGTTTAATATCATACATACAGAAAAATAGCTAAAAGATAAATCATGTCAAACTATTTTTAAGTGGTCTATTTTTTGTTCATCTAACAATTTTGATCGTAAGCATTAGGATGTAACATGTTCAAAGTTATAGCCCTACAATTCTGAACAGAATTGCAAATAACTTAAAAAACATGCATTCGTGCGTTTTAAATATTTGTTTGCAAATCTTGTACAGGATTTTTTACAAGAATATGATAAATCTGCACAGAATGCAGTTAAATGTTCATATTTTATATTGATTTATACATTAAATTGATATGTAAATGATTCATTTTCATTTAAATTTTAAGATTTATTTTTAGTAAATGGTATCAACCAACCAATATTAACGGCCAGCTATCGCTATTTTTGTGAATATGATGTCATAGTTAACAAAGCTATGACATCAAGATCATTATTCCAGAGTTATGGTCTCATAAATCACAAATGACATTGGTTGGTTTATGTAACAGCAATGTAGGGCAAATGTAAATAGAAGTTCATAATGACATCTGTCTTATATTTTTATGTTGTAAATATTCTACTAAATTTGTTTTTCAGTGTATATACATCTGAATGCATCAATTTTAATCTTCAAGGCAGAATTTTTTCAACTAAATGCATGCGTCCTTGATTTATGGACTTCACAGGTTGTTTACAATGCCTTTTCACAAAGAGTTGATTGGTTTATAAAAAGGGATAAAAAAAAACTGTTACCAGGTAAAATGATATGAAAACTCGACTAGTGGTTCATGCATTATTCAATCAATATCTGAAATCAATGTACCGAATCATTAAGTAGTACCACTGATTATACTATATACCACAAGCCTGGCATCCAGGGCTAGTAGATTTCATGTTGCGGCTAGTAAAATTTTCAAATGCTTGCTATGAAAATAGGTCTGGCTAGTAGAATATCAAATTTGGCTGCAAAAACACCATATCTATTACCAATTCAGTGATCATGAGTTATGTACTTGTAGTGAAACTGCACAGAGTTTGTTGGCTTAACCAGGTAGCTGATTGGTAGAGCGTGCGTCTAGAGTTCAGAGGATCTCGAGTTCAAACCCCGGTCTGGCAGTGCATGTTTCAGTTCCTATAAACATGATAACCTACCACTATTCGTTTGGGAGCCACTATTATATATAATGGTAGTTAGACTAACAGATCCTACAATGATAACCCATGCACTATGTTATAAGTTACTAATGGAATAATGAAGTGAATATTTGTTCTCCAAGATCAATTATTACTTTTTATATAATGGCAAAATACTTTTACAAAAGTTATATACATGATATGTAGTGTTCTGACCTGCATAGTTTCCGAGGGGAAATGATGATGTGCTTCTGAAGGATGGTGATAAGTATCTGACCAGACCTGATAAAGAGGGGTACTGTAATTAGGAAGCCAGAGTGACCTCTCTTACCCCCTACCCCACCCCCAGACACTTTGTGTGGTCTCTCATAATAGAGATAAGGTAGAGTCCATTGTTGATGGCGAGTTGTGCGTGTGACTTGGCTAATAAGTAACAGACTAATCTCCTCTGTGTTGTTTACATTAACAATATGATACTACTAAGAAACCTGATGAACACATGTCATCTTATGCTACCTTATTTATTAATAAAGACATTTCGGCACTTATAGTACTCCAATGGCGGAAAACATCAATTATTAAAATATGTATATTGATAGAGTATTCAAGAGGAGGTATATTTGTATGAGCTCTGTCAAGCTAACTGTTATAAGGGTGACAAATATAGCTTGACATACATATTGATCTGTTTCCTCAACCAGGAAATATCCCCTAGTTGTTACTATAATGTTGCTGATATAATTCACAGTTGATCAGTTACATCATGAGTGAGTGAGTGGTACCACCAAACGCATGCTGATCATACTGCTGATCAAGACCCCTACTGGTACATCAATTTGTGGGGTTTAAATCAAATCTCACCATGGTTTGTGTGCCTGCAGATGGACAGACCAGTTCAATGCCCCGGAGTCCTACATTGACACCAGGTTGCTAACATACAGACTTACACATCAATGTTTCCCATTCATGACCTATATTTTGTGTTCACTTGTATAACATAAGATTTTATCACAGTAAATTCTGGTATGTTATAGTAATAGATTTTTTAAGCTCAGCATTTGAGATACGGTTGCCCTATAATAATCACGATGTCCAGTTGACACTTCTAATAAACTTCAAGAACTACTTGCTTCTTCGCCTGCTGTTATGAATCTATGACTATGTGTCAAGATATCCAGACAAGTTACAGAGGACCAAATTATTCCACCATTGAAGAAACCATAGTGTTGGCTCTATATATATAACCTTAAATCTTATGAGTCCTGGTGTACATACAGCTTGCAATACAGCAAACTTCATGTTGATACAAACATAACAAAATCCAGTATATGCAGAGCCAAGAGACACCGGTAAATGTAACTCAAATTTTCAACAATTAACCTTTGAGAAACATCTGGAAAGAACTTATGTAATAATCAGGCCTAATTGGCACCAAAATCCATCAAAATTCAAAACCTTTGACATTGGACAAATGATTGTTTCTCTAAATTTGAATACTTCCCCAATGCTATCACAAAAA